TGTGCACTCCCCCCCAGGGAGGAGGGGGTCGGCGGAGGGGGGCGGGTCTGCTCTCGTCTGCCCCACCCCCCAGGGAGGAGGGGGCGAAGGCGGGGTCAGCTCTCATGTGCACACCCCCCCCAGGGAGGAGGGGGTCGGCGGGGGGGGCGGGTCTGCTCTCGTCTGCCCCACCCCCCAGGGAGGAGGGGCGAAGGCGGGGTCAGCTCTCATGTGCACCCCCCCAGGGAGGAGGGGGTCGGCGGGGGGGGGGCGGGTCAGCTCTCGTCTGCCCCCGCCCCGGAGGAGGGGGAAGCTAGGGGTCAGCTCTCATGTGCACCCCCCAGGGAGGAGGGGGTCGGCGGGGGGGGGGGCGGGTCTGCTCTCGTCTGCCCCACCCCCCAGGGAGGAGGGGCGAAGGCGGGGTCAGCTCTCATGTGCAACCCCCCCCACGCAGGACGGGGACAGCGGGGGTGGGGCGCTGCCTGCCTGCAGCCCGGGGGCGCCTCCCCCCGGAGCCCCGCGGCGCCCCCCGGGGAGGGTCTGCGCCAGCACCCACCTTCACTGCAGCGGGGCCACGGGCGCGCCCGAGCAGTGGAAGTGCACGTTCTGCCACTTGCCGTCGCGGCGGTGCCACACGCGCGTCTCCTCGGACTGGCTGGTGCGGGGCCGGCCCTGCCCGTCGATGTACTGCGTCAGGCGGATGTAGGCGATGCACGCGGCGTCCTCCCCGATGACGTGCACGTGCGGGTTCAGGATGGTCGTGTGGATGGGCTTGCTGTTCTTGGCGAGCACTGCGGGCAGGGGCAGAGGCGGGGGCTCGCGGGGCGCCCCCGGAACCTCCGCTCCCGGCAGCGCACGGGGGGCGGGGAGGGGGGCTGGGGTGGCCTGGAGGTCTTGGGAGCCCTGCGTTGCTGTCGGGGGCGCGCCGCCCACGCCCTGCACCGGCCCCCCGACTCACGGTTCTCGAAGTAGAATCTGTGGAAGTCCATCCCTTCGACCAAATTGCCCAGAGCTTCAGGCTCGAACGAGGTCAGGCCTGGGTCACAGATTTTCCTGGGGGGCATACCCAGGTGAGGAGCGGCCCCTGCCGCGGCCCGCCCCTCCCTTCACCGCAGGGAAGCCCCCACCGCCCACCCCAGGCCTCCCGGGACCCAGCCCAGATGCCCCGCTCACGCGTAGGCCTCGAAGTCCCCGTTGTTGACGGCCTCGATGAGCTGCTCGGTGATCTTGATGACCTCCTGCTTCCGCGCTGCAGGGACACAGCCGCCCAGTGACCGAGGACCACCCCAAGCGGCCCTGCAGAGGGCCTAGGGCAGAGCGTCCCCAGCCCCCACCCACCTCTCCTCCCCAGGAGGGACCCGCGCCCAATCGGTCCAGCTCACATGGCTCCCTCCAAGGTCACCCACAGCCCCCACGTTTCCAAGTCCACCAAGCCGTGTCTTACATAGAAGGTCTGGAGAACGCAGAAAGGGAAGCAAAGCCCGCCGTGTGGCCCCCCAGTCCCTCCGGCCGTGTCCCCTGGGACTGGCCCTCCTGGCTCCTGCCCACCTGGATTCGGCTCACAAGCCCTTTGCGAATGCAACACGTCTTTAGAAACATCTAGTAACGAACTATAGAAATGATCCCTGTAAGGGCCGGCTGTGAAGCAGTGAGGGGACGGGGTCTGCAGGGTGAGGACTGGGAGCAAAGACCAGGGAGTAGGGCCAGAGGGGCCCGAGGAGGAGGACGCGGAGTCTCTCCCTGGAAGCCCACGGACAGCCGGCTGGCCTCGCACCTGCTCCAGTCTCCACCTGCGTGCAGTCCTGGGCCTGGGTGCCAGCTCCCCCCCGCCCCCCGGGCATCACCAGCCCACCTCACACCCTCCGTCCCAGGGCTCTGGGCTCCTGCCCGCTTGGCCTCTGCACCGGGACAGGCCTGGCCCCAGGGTGCTGGCCTGGGGTCCCTGTTGTCTCTTGAGTCACAACTTATTTCAGAGAATAACATAGCCCCATACCCTGCGGATTCAAACCTGGACCACTTTCATTGCTGCTGAGACTTTTTTAAAGAAATAGGCCCTTCCAGATACAGCTGTGAATGCCCGTGTCCCCCTAAATCTCGTTCTTCACTCCCCCTCCCCAGAGAAGGACTGTCCTCAGGTGGGTGCTTAGCCGCTTCCGCGCAGAAGTGTGCACCCTCGAATGTGCACACACGTCGGGTGTGCGCGCACACGGGTCCCAGGGATCTCTTCAAGCAGCAGGCTGGCGGTAAGCCTCAGACCCAGCCAGCGCAGGATCCCAGGAGCTCCTCCCCACGGGCTCCCTCCCGGGGCACGGCACTTCCAGCAGCTTCCCTGGCTCCCTAGCAGCTCTCTGCCTCTGCGGCTGGGCATCTGTCTGCACTCCAGCCACCAGTGCCATGGGGAACGGCACACGCGTGAGGTGATGCGCGGGCTCAAGTCCCAGAGCACCGGTGGCAGGGTCTCCAAGGGTGCACTCCGCGTTTTGAAGCATGTGCCCACAGCCCTGGCATGGGGCTGCCCGCGCGTCCTCCCCGCTGCCAGCACTCTCGGCTGTCCGCGTGCCCCCTCCCACAGACGCCCGCCTGAAGGGCGCCGTGTGCTGCACGTGAGCCCAGACAGGCCTCATGTGCTGCACGGGGCCTGCACGGTGAGGGCAGCAGGAGCTCCGTGACGGCCGAGGGCTCGGGTGCACGCGTGTGCTGGTGTCACGGGGGAGGGCACGTTTGCACGTGGAGATTCGTGTGTGCACCGCCCTGCGGGTTTCTCCTATCTTGGAGAACCCTCCCTCTGGACCCAGCTGCATTTGTGCGAAGGTCCCGTTTCCATTTCTCACCGAACTCTGTGTCCGCACCGTGGCAGTGTTTGGGCTCCGGGCGGTCTCTGTGCAAGCCCAGGCCCCCACTGTCCGGTCGGCCCTGGAAGCTGGCCTCCAGTACGGTGCGCTGCAGGCTCCAGGGACCCCACGCCCACCTGTCCCGACACCTGCCATTCTGCTGTCTTGGGACCCGGGGCAGGACAGTGTTGGGCATCTTGGGTCCCTCTGCATCACCGGTCTGTGGCCTCCCAGCAGCCTGCCCACCTCTCTGCCCTCTGGCTGGGCGTTTCTGCTTCGGGGACACTCATCCGCCCTCCCAGGTCCCTGTCACCACTGCAGTCCAGCTTTTCCCCGGCGACCCCCAAGCCAGGCCCCCCCCGCCCGTGTGAGGGTGGACAGCGCCCGTGTGTCTGACACCCAACACCGGTTGGCCCCCCTTCTTCACCCCGGCAGCCCACAGGAGCCCTCAGCCAACAGCCCTGCGACCGGAACTGCCCGACACGTCCTCTCTTGTGTCCCGTGCACCCCGTACTGTGGTAAGTCAACCCGATCTTCCACGTCGTGAAGTCGTGTGGAGTGTTTTAAAGCCAGTTGTGATACAAAATGAGAGTATGAAGTCACCCAGAGGGAATCAGGGTGACAGCACACATCGCGGAGCCTGGAGTTTGGGAACCAGCGTCACACGCATTCTGCAGACAAGCAAGGTGAGATCGCAGCAGGGCTGCTGCCCAGACCCACCCCTGCCCTGCATGGCAGCCCTGCCTCCCCCAGGGGCGCGCAGCGTGGGGGGCTCCCCGGGAGGTGAGGCCGCGAGCTGTGACCCCGCCCCAGGCAGCTCCGGCAAGGGTGTGGTGTGGGAGGGGTCCCGGGGTGGACCGGAGCCCCTGCACGCCCTCTCCCGGGACGAGCTAACAGGCCAGGAGGCCAGGCTGCTGGCAAAGGGTCTGGGGGACCCCAGTGACCCCAGGCTGGCCCTAATCCGTGTCCCTTGGCAGCTGCAGGGGCACCGCGAGCCCCCAGCCACCCCAGGCGGGCAGCTGTGCAGGATCAGCCTGGATTGGGTGTAATCCCTGATTATGGGGAACACGGCCTGGGCCAGTGGGCACCGAGCCCATTTACACATGACGACAACTGACGGCTACATGCCCCTAACCCACCCCAGGGACAGCCCCCCGCCGCCTGCACCTCAGTGCTGGGTGAGGCGGACCCTGGCCCCAGAGGTGGAGCTGGGGGCACCCCGGCTCTGACGCCCACGGCCGCAAGTCTGGAGAGCCAGTTCCGCACAAGTCCCCTCTCGGGGCTGATTCCACCCCCGTCCTTCACCTGCGGACCCCCCAGCACTCGAAGGAGCTGCGGTGCTGAGGACTCAGGGGAGGGCACATGCCGGAGCAAGGATGCTGCTCCCTGAGGGGCCTCAGCCCCCCTGGCGCTCACCCCCCCCCCCCCCGGCGCTCACCCCCCCCCCCGCCAGTCCTGCCCTCCACGCCCCCCACACCCCTCCCTTCAGTCCCGCTCAGGGCCCCTTTTTGTGGCCCCCACGTCTGTAGTTTGGTTCAAGGCAGACCCCCAAGATCAGCCCAGGGTGCTCAGCGCTCACAGAATGCCCTGTCCTCAGAGCCCCCAACCTGGCCTCCTCTGCAGACTCCAAGGGCAGCTCGCAGCCCTGGGCGGGGGTCCTGTGGCGGGTGGCCCCCGCTGGGGGCACCTCTCCACGTACCCCAGCTTCTGCTTCTTCATCTGTGAAACCAGGGCCAAGAGGGGCCGGGGAGACGGGGACATGGATGCTGCCGACCCCTCCCCAGGCTCTGCTGCGCACCTGCCACAGCCCCCCCCCCACGAGACCACCCGCCCCTGTGACGGGCCTCCAGTCCCCGGCCAAGCCAGCCCGGGAACCCGCACCTGCCCTCGGCCCTCCGGCCAAGCACAGAGCGCTCCTGGGGGGGGGCGGGGGGGCACTGCTGTCCAGCTGCCGGCCCGTGCCCTCGCGGCCGCTGGGGTGGGCTCAGCTTGCCCGCAGCCCCCATGCCCCCCACCGCTGCGATGCTCCGCTCCCCCTCCGCCCTGCCCTGGCCCCCAGGCCCGGCACTCACCCAGCCACTCCCCAGCCATGCCCAGCCCCTGGCCCGCAGCCTCTCATCCGACAGCACCTCCCTGCCCGGTGCCTCCCGGCAGGTGGGGGGGGTGCGGCCCTGGGGTGTCACCCATCCCTGTAAGCGATCCTGGTGGCAGTCGGCAGGCGGGCTGGGGCAGCCGGCTCCTCCCTCCCTACCTGGGGAGGGGCCCCAGCCCAGCGCCGGCCCCTCACCGCCCCCCCCCCACCCTGGGCCCCGGCAGTCAGCATTGTCTGCGTCACGCGGGCCCACAGATCACAGGCGTGAGGCTCTAGTTTGCCCCGACTGCTTCTGATTCCTTCCTACACACACATTCACACATGCCCGTCCTCGGCCACAAACTCACGTTCCGAGGCCAGACGCCTTCATGTGGACTTCCCTGTGCTCCCCTTTCTGTCCCCTCCAAGCTGGCCCCTTCCCAGAGTGAGGGGTCCCGTACCACAGCCGGGGGTTCTCCACACCCCTGCGAGCCCCCATAGAGCAGCCAGGGGGCCACTCAAGGTGCTACCTACACAATGGGCCTGGGAGAGCTGGAGACAGGCAGGGTGGGGGGCCCTGGGCTTCCGGGGCCCCTGAGCCCCTCCTCACCGTGTTCAGGATGTCAGAGAGCCTAGGGGCTGGGGTGGAACAGACCAGACGTGAACAGGAGGCAGGTGGGGGCACACAGGACAGAGAAGCTATGGGCTGACGAGCCAAGCCAGAGAGAGGAGGGGGCAGAGTGGGACACGGGGGGACACGGAGGGCCGAGGGGAGACAGAGGGGGACACTGGGGGGATACCGGGTACAGAGGGAATGTGGGGGGATGAAGGCGGATGTGGGGGACACGAGGAATGTGGGGGCACAGAGGGTGACGTGAATAAACATGGGGTGAAGGTGGACATGGGGACAGAGGAGGACAGGGGGGACACAGG